TCTCCTGTATAATCAGTTTTGAGGGCACTCTGTCCTTTCTAAGAAGGCTCTCATGAGTAGTGGAGAGAGGAGGGTTTTGTTTTCTTTCAATGGCTTCCTTGTTGAAGTTCAGTCACTTGTCAAACAGGAAAACAAAAGCCAGGCCATGCCGTTGTTGATGAATCTTGGTAGTCATGCAGAAATACAAGGAGGGGATTGAAAAATGTTAGGTGTGAGTCTTCCAAGAGGACCTGTTACAGGGGAGCCTGCTCATAATGACCTTGGACACAAAGCGGCCCTGTGTGCGGTGAATTTGTGCAGCAGAATAGAGATAATAACTCCAGTGAGACTTTACTATAAGGAGGCTCTGCTAACGCTCCGCATTGGGAAAAGCCTTGTTGGCTGAATCAACCAAATCAGAAGGAATCTTGTGCAGAAAAGCACTGATCTTGATAATTTAACAATTGGCACAGCCCCACTGACTTATAGGAACTGTCTTTGCTCTGCAAATCCCTCTGTGAGACCAATATATATATATATAGTGTTTTAGATTATACTTAGCAATAATTTGGAGAACAAAGTCTTTTAGTACTTATAAATTTATAAAATTTCCTCTCTGGAAGTGATTCTGTTACTGGGATCATAATTTAGCATTGCCATCAAATGTGTTGGGCATTCATTTTCTGTCTATTTTAATGATATGCCAAGCCGATCTGATTGCAAAAGCCAAATTAAACAACAACAAAAACACTACCAAATTAAATTTTTTAAATGTTTGTAAATTCTATTGCTTTTGATGCAACGTTTCCTTTCTACCTAGTTTCAGAATCGGAATGCCTTTCATGTAAAAATTGCTGATAAAGCACTCACATATGAAATTATTATGACATATACACATTTTTAAGATAAAATGTGGCATGCTATAAATTTCACCTTTGAGGAGAGCTGCAAAGGGAATGGTATTAAGATGCTTTTAATCTTTTGAGAGAGAATGAATGGAACATTATTTCTCCGCATATATCTGGGCTGTTGAGAGCATCTGGTACACTGTCCCCTTTGCTGTGATGTATTTGGCTTCATTTCATTTTTGTGTGGAGCTGAAGGATGTGGAAGAGGTGGTAGGAATGTGTAATTCAGGCAGACCCGAGAGACTTTCTCAGTGTTACAATCTGAAGGTTTGCTCAATTATACATTTAAGCGCTAATCACTGACTAAATATGGTAACTGCCTATGGCATGGCAGTCAGCGCAAGCAGTATTTTCATGTCTTTGCAAGGGCATTCTTTATTCAAAATAGCGTTGCCTTTGGAGCAGTCCTGCTACCCAAATGGATTACTTGACACAGTTGGTGGGCCAATACAGCACTTTAATCTGGTAAAGCCTCTAAAATCCTATACAGTGTGATTTCTTCTTTGTCTAACATATCCTAAATTCCGACTATTTTAGCATCCCTTTGATTGTGGGCAGAACTCTAGGGAGGAAATCTAAAGGAGAGATAATATTCTACCACAGAGTTTGGTAGAAGTCAGTGTTCCTTCCTTGCCTTTGTCAATACCACTCCATTCATGAGCCAGTTCTTCAGAGGGCTTTTCAGTCTAGCGAGCTAAATGGAGATCATTCTCCCCCCGCCCCCCCCTCACCCCGACCTTTAGTACACTTTATCTGGTGCATTTAAGGATTATGGAATATAATTTGCCTTTGTTAGTTTCCCTTTGTTTTTGTTTGCAGAAAGCTGTATGCAGTTATAAGAAATTGTAATGTACAAAATAAAATATTGGTTTTGCCCCGTTTCTAATACTGATATCTCAGATGGTCCCCAGAGCTTTGAACTTAGAGGTACGTTTAGAAATGAGACTTGAACCCGTGTATATGACTAGCAGAGGGGAGAAAATGGATCTTGCCTTTTGTGAAACATAAGAAGACAGGAGGTCCCATTTTCAATTAAAAGGAAAATGTAAGTTTCTCCCTGTCATGTCTGACTATAAAATATTGGGGGACAGTGAGGTACCCATTGGTGGTGTGATATGAGAGAGTCAGACAGGAGTAGCAGGAGAGGAGGAGGGCAGGGAACGCTGGTGGGAGAGGGACTCTCAGTGCCAAGCTGAGGGGGTTCCCTCTGAGTCGGTAGACACTGAGGAATCAGAGAAAGGTGCATCTTTTCTTCTTTACTTTTTTTTTTATGGAAAATCATACATAACAAAATTTTGCATTTTAACCATTTTTAAGTGCATAGTTCAGTGGAATTGATGACATTCAGTGTTCTGTCACCATCATCATCATCCCTTTCCAGAACTCTTTTATCATTCCATCCAAAACTGTATACCCACTAAACAGTCACTCCCCATGCTCCCTTCCCTCCAGGCCCTGGTGACCTCTGTTCTACTTTCTGCCTATGAATTTGACCATTTTAGGTACATCATATAAGTGGAATCAGACAGTATCTGTTCTTGTGTGTCTGGTTTATTTTATGTTTTCAAGGTTCATCCCTGTTGTAGCATGTATCAGAGTTTCATTCCTTTGTAAGGCTGAGTATTATTCCATTGTATGTATATCCTGCATATTGTTTATCCATTGACCTGTTGATGGATGTCTGGGTTGCTCTCACCTTTGGCTGTTGTGTATAATGCTGTTATGAACATGGGTGTGTAAGTTATTTGTTTGAGTCACTGCTTTCTTTTGTGTGTGTATATCTAGAAGTGTAATTTCTGGATCAAATGGTACAGGGAGGAGTTTGAGTTGAGGAGGGACACTGGACTATAGAAAGGTGAACTAGGTGGGCCTGAGGAGGTAGGCTCAATTTGGCCAGGTTAGAGCAGCAAAAGTACAGGTGGGAGAGAAGCAGGGGAGGTTACAGTCCGGAGCTGTAATAATTCTTCAGACTTCCTTAACAGGAGGATGTTAACAGAGTAATATTTTCCAAACATCAAGTTTACAGTTAATATTACTGAGGGTGATTCATGGGAAAGAGTTTGCTTTGGAAGCGGACGTTTGGCCAGCTGTTCCTCTTCTTGGGCCCAAGAGAAAGAAGCTACTAAGGGCTTCCCTGGCTTCTCTCTCTCAACTTTTCTTTTTACTGTTACCCCCTGGCTTAGTCCCCTCAGTCTTGGGCCATCACTGACTGCAGACATCACCATAAGGAATGGTAGAATTAAGGAATGATTTGGGTGGCATAGATTCACTTTTTTTTTTTTTTTTTTTTTTTTATCAGTCTCTCCTTCCACACCATATACATACAAAGTCTAAGTAAAAGTCAGTATGCTTCAGGTGCAAATACAATTTCCAGATAACTCCACCAGCCACCCTGGCTGAGGAAGTTGCCATTTCTAAGCCTTGCCTATTGAAATCATGGAACTTCTCAACCATAGTCTTTTATTCTCATCAGAGCCACACCTGGAAACTACTGGACGTGTGAGATGTTTCCATTCCCACTGTATTGAGTCAGGACGTTTCAATGCTTTTCCCAGCTGATGCCACTGGATGCCATGTGACCTTGTCATGTCATCTATCCCAAAGTCTACCATAGCACCTTCCCATACTAGCTTGTTGTTCTTGCTGTTAGGTGGATGTTAAGAATGAGCGAAATGGGCAGGAGTGTGACAACTTTGACCTCAGCTGCTTCATCTACACAATGAGAGGAGCCCTTGTGAGAATGAATGGGAAGTGGGGCTGTAGAAAGCTTTCCAAAGCTCAGAATAATCATAATATTGATTTCACACCATCTTCGGGGTTTTCTAGTTTATAAAGAAGCCTATTTATAGCCCCCACCCTGATTGTTATCACTTCCCGAGGGAGGCAGGATATAACAAAAATATTAGTGTAACAGAAATTGTTTGGAGATAGACATATGAGCCAAGAGGTGACTGAAATTGAACCAGCTGCTTCCTGGAGGTGGGTGGTGGTGGGAGTGTGGAATTATAAGGCAGAAACCGATGGGAGGGTGAGCTCTTGGAGGATGGCAAAGGTAACAGTCACAGAGAAACTTTCCTACGGAATCTCATTGACGTGTTCACCATGAGAAACACATCTACTCTCAAGTTGTTTCTTCGACCATATTTATCTCTGATGAGCCCAAAGGAAATAACAAATGGAAAATTTCAAAGCATTCCCATCCCTTTCTTGTCTCAGAAGAAAGAATGGAGGGAGGGCACAAACTCCTTAGTTATAAGTCATTTTATGCGGCAGTCACATCTTCTCCAAGTATGTCAGTCTTCTCCATGTGTGTCCAATGTGGGTCATGTTGAGACATATAAATGACTATTATGTTAGTGAAGGAAGAGCTAGGAGTTGTGCTGATACCATTTTTGAGAGATAATGGGAAGGTGAGTTAACACAACAAAACGATTAACTGTAACCCTTTCATGTGGGTAGTTCTGACTGGTTTACCCAGTTCTAACTCCCAGCATTCCAGTCCTTGGCCCAGTGGTGACTCAGACAGTACCTGGCATGCTATTGTGTTAACATCTAAGTTTGACTGGAAATGTAAATCCCGAGATACATTTTGTAATAGACTTCGTGTAAAGTTTGCCTCTTTTTACTTTTCTATACATTTTAACTTATAGAAGTCTTCTCATTGGATTAGAATTTCTTTTAAGCTGAACTTATATTCTTTTCCCAAGGTGGATGGAAAGTATGATCGAATTGGATAAAAATGTGGGTTTCCTCACGCTCTTTCAGTGTATCCAAATTATGAACCTGGTCTGGAAAGACTCTGTTTTGCATATTCTTAATATTTTCTTGCCAGAGTCGTACACTAAAACTGCACAGTCCCCCAAACCTATTTGAAGGAATGGCTTTGTTTCACAATAACGATTTTATTTCAATAATAGTATTATTTGTCAACAACAATAATATTCCACTTCAAAATAACAATAACCACCCCCAAGCGGTAAAGACTCCATAAAGAACACCTTCCCTGGTCCAATGGGACAGTTCTCGGTTCACCTGCCTGTGGTCCTGGGGTTTCTGTGCAGGAGCTCTGGACTCACTGATGCCAAAGTGTGTGATCTGGATTTCTTCTCCTAGATTGGCCGCTTGGTTATTGGGCAGAATGGAATCCTCTCCACCCCTGCCGTTTCCTGCATCATTCGAAAGATCAAAGCCCTTGGTGGGATCATCCTGACAGCCAGCCACAACCCTGGAGGGCCCAACGGAGATTTTGGAATCAAATTCAATATTTCCAATGGAGGTGAGGGTGCTGTCATTTTGAGGATGGTCAATTTTATGTTCAGGAGGATAAGCCACTAGTCAATGCCGTGGGAGGCCAGGGTTCTGGTTCTGGTCCTTAGTAAAGGGGCTCTTTGTTTCCTTTTGATGGAAATGAAAATGCTTCTCATTCTGCTGTACCTGAACGTGAGGAGCCAGGCACCAATGGTCATTAACACGGTATTTTCTGTTAGAAAACCCGGATACTTTGCTGCCTGGATGATGAGTTGAATGGCAGATGTGCCAGTGAAGAGGAATTGATGAGTTTTGTGTTTGTTTGTTTTTTGTGTTTACATGTTAGCTGTACAAAACGACCCACTGTTTGCTATTTGGTTTCTAGGCCCTGCTCCTGAAGCAGTAACTGATAAGATTTTCCAAATCAGCAAGACAATAGAAGAATATGCAATTTGCCCTGACCTCAAAGTAGACCTTGGAGTTCTGGGAAAGCAGCAGTTTGACCTGGAAAACAAGTTCAAACCTTTCACAGGCATGTTTCCCTCTCTCTTCCCCTCCTGCCCACTCCTAGTTCCAACTTGAGCCATTTGCCTTTCCAGGTTTTGATAATATGGGTGTTCAGCTTCAGAAAGATTGTGGTCCCTGAGCTTTGCATGCATTAATTAGCAGATCTGGAATTGGGTCTGGGACTCCAGAGACCTGGGCTCTCTGGGCACTGCCAGTGATCAGCAGTGTGACCCTGGGTAAGTCATTTCCAAATCTCAAGGTCTCAGCTTCCCATATTTATGTTACGAATTTGGCTAGAAGACTTGTAAGATTATATTCATAACTAACTTTTATTGAGCTTTGTTTTTATGTGCCAAACTCTTACCATTTATTATCCCGCTTTATTCTTCCAGTAGCCCTGTGAGGGCAGCACTGGTGGTATTCACTTTTTCCAGGTGTGGAAAAAAAGGCTGAGAGAGCTTGAGTAACAGGCTCAGCTCACACAGGGAGTGAGTGATATGCTGGGATTCAAACCCAGGTGTGAATGATTCCAAAGTTTGGGTTTTGATCCCCTCCCCCCCCCCCCCCCCCCCCCGCTGCCCTAATATTCAGTAAAATCAAATTACACCATTTTGGGGGCTAAATTGAAACTCCCTGTGTAGGCAGTTGTAGTAAACATGTTGTATTACAATGATTGATGGAGTAAGAGTTTGTGAAATTATTCATATTAATCAAATAAGGGTGAGATGCTTGGCAACGTGACTTGCATTCTGACTTTGCTCTAACATGTGTTCTTCCCCCTGGACTGCGTTTTTTGTTTGTGGCCACCATGGAGAGCGGACAGTTGCATCCTAACAAAGAGAAGGTGGTGCTTTGCCACTTCCTGAAGACCTGCTTAGGGTTTAGAAAACATCAGTAGAGAATTTCCTAAATTCTTAATGTCTTAAAAATGTTCAGACCCCTGAAAATCCAGCAATACTAAGTTCTTATATTTATTTTATTCCTTTAGTGGTACATGTGAAAATGATTCATTAAAAAATACCTTTTCCTGCTTTTCACCATTAAGTCTTGATGGCAATGGGCCTGGAAAAAGGAAAGGAAAGTAGGTGTCACATTTTCTGTTACTTATGACACCAAAATATACTTCTTATGAAGATGGATAGGGAATCAGTGAAATGCTGAGTTTACCGCCAGGCAAACCTCCGTCAAAAATCCCCTGAGTGCCCCATCCCAGCTGCATGAACAAGTGGTTTAACCTTACAGACCTTGCGTTTCCTTGACTACAAAACAGGACCCTATCATGTACCCCCCAGGAACATTGTTAGTATTGAATACGGATCCAGTGCCAGGCCTGGCATCGTGGGGCTGCTCGGTAATCGGCTTTTTAACATAGCCATGGCGTGTTTACAGCCATGCAGTCATTGCAGAGGAGAACATTTCTAAATGTGCTTGGTTCCTCCATCTCTCAATGTGGCCTCTTCCCACAGTGGAAATTGTGGATTCGGTGGAAGCGTACGCTGCGATGCTGAGGAACATCTTTGATTTCAGCGCCCTGAAAGAACTGCTTTCGGGTCCAAACCGGCTGAAGATCCGCATCGATGCCATGCACGGAGGTACTGGCCGCTTCTCTGCCACGCCCTTCTCTCAGCTGTGAAGCTGCTCTCTGCTCTGTGCCTCATGATGCTTTAACAAGCCTTTTCTTAAAGCCTTCTCTCTGGCTCTTCTCCCCTTGTTTTTTTATTTAAATTTATGGGGGGGGGGTAACTTTAGTTAATCACATTCTATAAGTTTCAGGCATGCAACCTTATAATACATCATCTGTATATTGCATCTTGTATCCACTACCTAAAGTCTCATCTCCTTCCATCATCGTATATTTGACCCCCTGTGCCCTCTTCATCCACCCTCCACGCCTTTCCCCTCCGGTAACAACCATACTGTGGTCTATGTCTATGTCTATGTTTGTTTTATAGCCCACATAGGCGTAAAATCATATGGTTCTTGTATTTTTCCATCTCTGATATTTTTTTTTAAACAATTATTTTGCAACCATTTCAACAGTACCCACAGGAATAAAAATCTAACTGTATGCAGCAGGCAGTGGAGACATTCCCCACAGCAAGGTGGTATGAAGGGCAGTTTCCACATTAAGCATCAGGTTTGTGTCATGTGCAGCTGCGTTTGTGGACTCTTCCTGCCTCTCCGAAGATACCTTACATTCTTTTACCCCACTATTTCCAAGGGGGCGTTTTGTCATTTACTAGATGTGTGAACACGCTCCTGAGCCCCACAGCCCCTCTCGCCTGCCCCCGCACGCTCCTTTTCTTAGAAGCAGGCAGAGCAAGCCCAGGATTAAATTCAGAAACAACAGGATGTGTGTCTCTCCCTTTTCTTCCTCTGGGGGGGGGTGTGTGGCCAGGTCAGTAGAGACAGCAGCTGTCATTGTGAAGTGAACCATGAGGTTTTCTTGCTTATAGGAATATGGGAATTCCTGAGCATTTAGGTTGCTCATTTGTTTTGTAATAATTTAGAATTTTGGAAGCTTTGAGCAGCAGGGTTTTCCTTGGTGTTGGAATCCAGCTGCTTGTCTGGCTGAGAAAGGCTTTCTACTGTGCTGAACCCTTTTGACAATGCTGTTAAGAGCCTCCGGTTAGCACTGCATAACCAGGGCTAGAAAGCCTTCTCCTGGAGGGCTGAATCTCCCATCCTGGAACTCCTCCCTTGGGCCCTAACTTGGCTCTCGAGTCTCATGAATGGGTCTACCTTTTTGTTAAACCTCACCTGAGGCCATGCTTAGAGAGATTAAGGGAGATAGAGATAGATGATAGATAGATAGATAGATAGATAGATAGAGAAATGAAAATCAATGTGAGAACCACTGATCGGTCGCCTTCCGCACAGGCCCTGACTGGGGATCAAACCCATAAAACAGGCATGTGCCCTGACCAGAAATTGAAGCAGCAACCTTTTGGTGCACAGGACAACGCTTAACCTGCTGAGCCTCTCCAGCTGGGCTGCGTGTACTTTATTCAGACAAAAGCTACCGTATTTTCCGGCGTCTAAGACGACCCCCTAATTTTTACAGTTTAAACATAGGTTTAGGCCTATATTCGCTGTATAAGACTACCCCCCACTTTCGAGGCAACACCAGTTCTTTAATAGACCGCCTCTCTGACTCTGGCCAATCTGAGCAGGCTTTTTACAGTGTAGTTTCGGGTACAAAACATGTGCACTGGGTTCTATTAAAAAGCCTGCTCAGATTGGCCAGAGTCGGAGAGGCGGTCTATTTTTTTTTTTTTAATATATTTTATTGATTTTGTACAGAGAGGAAGGGAGAGAGATAGTTAGAAACATCGATGAGAGAGAGTCATCGATCAGCTGCCTCTTGCATACCCCCTACTGGGGATATGCCCGCAACCAAGGTACATGCCCTTGACCGGAATCGAACCCGGGACCTTTCATCCCCAAGCCAACGCTCAATCCATTGAGCCAAACCGGTTTCGGCGAGGCGATCTATTAAAAAAAGAACTGGTGTTGCCTTGGAAGTGGGGGTAGTCTTATACAGCAAATATAGGTCTAAACCTATGTTTTAACTGTAAAATTAGGGGGTTGTCTTATACGCCGGAAAATATGGTATTCTGTTTTTTCAAACCATGCAACACAGATGTATTGAGTACCTACTGTGTGTATGCTTGGTAAGTAGACCTGGACTCAAAGACTAACATCACCAGGTCAACACTGGTTTGGCTCAGCGGATAGAGCATCAGCCCGCAGACTGAAGGGTTTGATTCCATTCAAGGTCATATGCCCAGGTTGTGGGCTTGATCTCCAGTGTGGGGGATGCAGGAGGGAGCCAGTCAATGATTCTCTCTCGTCATTGATGTTTCTGTCTCTCTCCCTCTCTCTTCCTCTTTGAAATCAATATGAATATATTTGGGGGGGGGCGGTGGGAAGGAACAACAACAACATAAAAAAACTAACATCACCAGGCCAACCAAATGAGGAATTAGATAGAATTTTAAATATTCTCTTTGGGGTGTGAAAGAAGGTATAGTTTGATAAGGCAGTATTAAGCAAGGTTTCTTGGAAGAAGAGGCAACCAATTTAGCTTTTATGTAAGACAGATCGAGGGTGGTGGAAACTCAAGTGATGGTCTCTCCCAGTGAGGCAGTGGCTGTCACAAATGCATGAAGTTTTATGTTTGTAAGATGCCACAGTAGAGGAGTGAGGGAAAGCCTAGGCTGGCTCAGGAATGGGACTTATAATGGAGCATTTGCTGAGAGGAGCTGGTCACGAAGTAGACTTTTTCCTTCAGGCCTTTTCGTTGTTCCTCTAATGCCTCCGTTTGTACATCCCTTATAGCTTTGGCCGCCTAGATCTCATTCTGTGTTGTGTCAACAGCTTCCTTTACATGTGGTCCTAATGGGAGATGCACATTCTATCCTGTGCTGATTTCTGCAACACAGTGTATTGGTGTCAGTACCTTCTTTGAGGAAAACACATTCTCAGTATTTTAGAGATGAATGTTCTTGGTAGTTATACTAGATGTCACCATAAAGTATGGGGCTAGTTTTTCCTGATGTTCATTGTTGTAGTTACTGTCTTTGCGCTCTTTTAATCAGTTTGTCAGATAACGGATGGAGTAGAAAGATTAGGGCTCTGAATCCCAGCTCCTACTCCTACTGGGTAAGTTTGGGCAAACAGCTTCATATCAGAACCTCAGTTTTCTTTTCTATAAATTGAAGGTGATAATCATAATGCAAACATTTATACTATGTGCAGGTACTGTTTTTAGTGTTTCATATTTATTAACTCACTTCACCCAGCTAGAAAGTTAATACAATTATCCTCATTATGCAGATAGAGGAGACAAAAGCACAAAGAGACTAAGTAACTTTCCCAGAATTACACAGCTGGCGATTGGCAGAGCTGGGGTTTGAACCCAGGAACTCCGATCCCAGAGTCCATGCTCTTACACACTGAACTGTGCCACCTGTGGGCTTCTCAGGGACTGAGTGAGCAAACGGTCCGGAAGTGTCTGGCACAGGTGTGTCTTAGGGCCTTCATGATGGTCAGCTCCTTCCCTTGTCCCCACTCTTTCCTTCATCAACTGTCCCCACCCTTTCCAACCTAATCATTACTCCTGTTCGTAGAACCTCCCACTCCAGCCGGGCTTATGTGTCCGCTAGCTCCTGCATACAGTTTGCACATTCTCATTGTCGTGCATGCCATTTTCTACCTCGTCCCCCAACCCTCACGGGCTTTCATAAGCCTTATTTTCTGAGTCTTCATTTCATGCTGGCCGCAGTGGTGGGGCCGTATGTAAAGAAGATCCTCTGCGAAGAGCTCGGTGCCCCTGCCAACTCGGCAGTCAACTGCGTTCCTCTGGAGGACTTCGGAGGCCACCACCCTGACCCCAACCTCACCTACGCCGCTGACCTGGTGGAGACCATGAAGACAGGAGAGCATGACTTCGGGGCTGCCTTTGATGGAGATGGGGTGGGTACAGGTCCCTTTAAGGGAACTCTGACGCAGGCTAGGCCTGATCCTGCAGAGGGGGAAAGTGGGCTGCACCTGCCTGACCCTGTGGGCCTAGTGAGTGAGAGTCAAGATCTTTCATTGCACCTGGGGTCAGGGCTAAATAATTGAAAGACCTTCTCAAACAGAAATAAGAGTCCTTGACATTAACACATATTTTCTTTTTTTTTTAAATATATATTTTTATGGATCTCAGAGAGAGCAAGGGAGAAAGAGAAGGAGAGATAGAAACGTCAATGATGAAAGAGAATCATTGATCGACTGCCTCCTGCACACCCACTCTGGGGTTGGAGTCTGCAACCCGGGCATGTACTTTGACTGGGAATTAAACTGTGACCTCCTGGTTCATGGGTCAACCGTCAACCACTGAGCCAACCCATATTTTTAATTTCATACATTTATATGTACATTTAGGATCTTCTTATGATCTAATGACTACTGATTCATGAGCTGGCTGGGTTCTAGATACCTATCCTAAGATAGGTTTCTATTCTCAACTAACAGCTAGTTACTTATCCAATCTCAGAGAAGGATTTTGGAAATATAATATCCCCAATCATTCATTTACAATAACTGAATGATGGAATTATAATGAGAGCATTAACCTTTTATTCCCTCTCTATAATTAAGACTTTTAATACCCACTCTTTTATTTACATTGGTGAACATATGTATACCAGACAAAGAGGAATTGTGTTTTAGGTTTGTATTCTTGATATCTCAGAGATAATAGGCACTACACATGTCTACCCCATTGAAAATATGTATATTCTTTATTGTTGCTTGTTGTTCTTTGACATTACCTAGATTTATTATTTTCCTGAAATACAAGTTTTCCCATATCAAAATTTGGGGAAATTGAAGGGGTCTGGAGCAGATACTATTTTGCAATGCATCTTTCTGAGGCAGTGCATGATGGGAGTTTCTCTTCCCCGCGTTCTAGAACTTCCTGCATATCAGGCACCGAGAAAGCAGGGATGGTGGCAGCATGCCTTGCTGGTTCTGTACCAAATGGTTTAGAAGCCCTTCCTTGAAGAAATCTGCTTTGTTCCTCAAAGGATGCCAGACAGGGCTACCAAACTGTATAAACAGCCAACATTTCCATTCTTCTTTCTGTCTCTCCTGTCCTCTGGGAGAGAGGTGATTGGTTCCAGGGTTTGGGAGATTAAAGTCAGCCGGCCTCTGGAGGGAGAACAGGGTATTTGGTTGAGAAGGATCTGGCCTGCATTTCATTGAAAGCAGTTTGAGCTCTTTGGCCCAGTGGTACTGTACAGATCCATTCAAAACAAAAATCCGGTGTTTAGAACCACACTGAATAAGTGTATCAGTTTTAGGTTTTATAATTTAAAGTTCCCATTCCCCCTCCCGCTCCCACCGTGTGGGATAGTTTGATTTCTTCCACAGTTTGACTAAAAGTTCTTCGTTTGAAACCTCCGTCTCTCAAAGGACCGAAACATGATTCTGGGCAAGCACGGCTTCTTTGTGAACCCTTCGGACTCCGTGGCTGTCATTGCTGCCAACATCTTCAGCATTCCGTACTTCCAGCAAACAGGGGTCCGCGGCTTGGCACGCAGCATGCCCACCAGCGGGGCCCTGGACAGGTAGGTCTCTCCGTTCCCTTAGTCCTCAGCAGGCCCTTTTCTGTGCTTGGAACACTCTTTCTCCCCTTCCAGCCAGGGCATCTGATGCTAAGTAAGTGCTTATTTTAGGAAGGAATGGGTGAAGTTTTTTCTGGGTGAGATGTCTCTGTGATCCCTTAGCATCTTGCACTTCTTCCACTGCAGCATGTACCATGCTGTGTTCTGGTAGCCTGTGTACTTGACTAGCTGCCGTCCTGGACTGTAAACTTCTACAGAGAAAAGACTGACTAATTCACCATCCTAAACTCCACCTGATCATAGTGTGCCTAGCATGTAGGTAATAGGGAATACACACACACACACACACACACACACACACACGCACACAGTTTAGGAAATGAATGATTGCATGTTAATGAATAAATGAATGGATTGCCCTCCCACTGTAGTCAAGACGTTATTCTAAAGAGCCACTTCTTTTAGCAGTGTGCAGAGTGCGGGGAAAGAGCAGTCTGAAGTAAGATCAGTGTATCAGAGAAGCATTCCCCGTCCCCTCCCTCATTGGATACCCACGCACATACAGACACAGAAAATGTTCACTTATCAAAAATCGAAATAAACTGAAAACTCAAATAGTTAAAAAAATTACATTCAGTTTTTATGAGAAAGGACCCCGTGACAATAAACAGTGGATATCTGTGATGTGCTTATTTATTTATTATATATTACCTTGTTTGAAAAGGCTTTAAGGTAGATTATAAGATCAGATCTAAAATTATTGAAAAAATATCAGTAATAAATAACAAATGAGGGCCAACCTGGGAGAATGTTAACTAGAACGTTAGGTGCCCAGTAAATGCTGAATGAATGAATAAAGAACAACTGAATGAATAAAAGGCCAGAGCAGGTAGGAAAGCAGAAAGCATATATCTAGGCTCTTATAATAATAACTAATATTGAGAATTACCTAGACACTGAATACTTAATATGCTAAGCATAAGTCATTAATTCTCAGACCAACCCCATGGGGTAAATGCTATATAAACCCCACTTTGCAAGTGGGAAAACAAGAGGGACAAAGAAGTTAAGTCACACACCCAAGGTCATCCAGCTAGTAAAAGGCTAAGTCAGGACTTAAACCCAGAATCTTTGCTCCTAACCACTGGGCCATGTAGCAGTTTTCTATTGTGGGTTTTGTGTGTATGTGTGTGTTACAGAATAGTGCTGATGTCAGCTGACAAGAGAATAATGATTAATATTCATGTAATGGTTTGTGGTTTACACAGTGCTTTTTGACATTCACCATCCCAATTGATCCTCACAGCAATCTTTATTTTTTTTCTTGTTAATCCTCACCCGAGGATATTTTTCCATTGATTTTTAGAGAGAGTGAAAGGGAGTGGGAGAGATATAGAAGAGAAACATCAATGTGAGAGAGACACATCAATTAGTAGCCTTCTGCACGAGCCCTGACCAGAGCCAGGGACTGAGCCTGCAACCTAAGTACATGCCCTTGAGCCTAATCGAACTCGGGCCTCTTCAGTCCACAGGGCCAACACTCTCCCCTGAGCCAAACAAGCTATGGCATAGAAATCCTTATTTTTAAGAAGAAGAAACCAAAAAAGAAGCTGGCTGTCTTGGGTAGGACCCCACAGCTAAATAGGAGCTTGGATCAGAACCCAGGGCGTCTGCCTCTGCATCCTCCACCTAAAGTCATGAACTGGTGTGTGGCCACATCACTGTACATCAGACCTTTCAGATCTTGAAATACTTTCTGCATCATTCAAGAACAGTTTAATTCCAACTTCTGGAAAAATTGATAATCCATACATAGAATCACAATAGAAACGCCTCATTACCCAGTTAGAAGTTCATTGTGTTTCACAGTTTTTAGAATCTTAGATATCATTTTCCTCAAATGTTAGAATCGAAACTCGACACTGTTTTGTCAGCATCAGGCACACGTTCTGGAAAGCAAACCTCACCAAAACAGTGAATGAAATTTGGTAACTTTCTGTTTGAAGGACAAGGCATCTAAAAAGAAGTCACTTAAAGAAAGTTTTAAATAATCTAAAGAAGCATAGGGAGAAGTAGAAGATGTGTTGGAGGGGACAGGGGACCACGGGTCAGTGGGATGAAGCTGGTGCCAGTGGGAGAGCCTGCTGGGCACTGTGTTTGCAGGGCCTTCTGTTGAAATGGAAGGAACATTCAACTGGCAGCTGAATAGCAGGCCCAGGGCATCCCGGCTGTGTGACCTTGGGCAGATCACTCTATCCTTTTTTTTTTTTTTTTTTTTTAAATATATTTTATTGATTTTTACAGAGAGGAAGGGAGAAGGATAGAGAATCAGAAACATCATCGATGAGAGAGAAACATCAATCAGCTGCCTCCTTCACACCCCCCACTGGGGATGTGCCCGCAACCAAGGTACATGCCCCTGACTGGAATCGAACCTGGAACCCCCAAGTCTGCAGCCTGATGCTCCATCCACCAAGCCAAACTGGCCAGGGCTGATCACACAACATTCTGCACCCTCTTTCTTTCTCTGTAAAATGCTGACCTCCTAGACCACATGTTCTATTGTTTTGTCATTATAAGTACACCAAAACACCATTCTTTTGTTCTTTATAGAATAGTTATCGATGCTGACTGTCTCCAAAACACGTGCGTTTAAATAGCCTCCAAAACAAGCTTTCACATTTTGCTCCTGTTGCTTCTTCTAAGATATGAAAGTCAGTGAGCTGAACTAATTCTTTCTTCTTCCTCTTCTGCCCCCTCCTCTGAATCCACATAGAATAGCCCATTGTGCACAAGTTTTCTCTGACGATTTTCCACCAATCCTACAATCGTGTCTACCTCTGAGCTGCGCTAAATGGGACCCTTGATTACAATAATGGTTGCTATTTCCCCTCCCTCACACGGCTATGCTAACGGTCCCACTGTGATGTAACTCTGATTTCATGCCTTTGAAGGGTGGCCAATGCTACAAAGATTGCTTTGTATGAGACCCCCACTGGTTGGAAATTTTTTGGGAATTTGATGGATGCCGGCAAACTGTCCCTCTGTGGGGAGGAGAGCTTCGGGACCGGTAAGTGCGCAGCCCTGTGCTACCCCTTTCTTTTCCTGTCATCGCTACCTGCGGTGAAAGCTTAGACTGTGAGGGCCGCACTGAAATAGCAACGGTAGCTGATGTGTCCTAAATCAGGATGCAACTTATTTATAACAACCCTGATGAAGTGTACACATTTGAAACGCAGCAAGCACGTTCCGCCGAGGAGGGCTAATTTTAATTTCAGGAGGATCACCTCTACTGAGACAGGAAGCGTGGGGGCCTCCCCGGCAGCCTGGTCATTGGGTCTGTGGGGACTTAACAGAGTGGTAAACATACTTTTCTTCCCTCAGTGGTCAAGGAAACTTTTATAAATGTTTTCATTTCTAGGAAGAAATATGGTAGAGCGAGTCAGTTTTTCATTTTTATTTAAGGTTTCAGCACAGCATTAAATCATTTTCTTTAATAGGCCCAGGTTTTCTATAGCTACAAGTTGTGATTTATTGAGGTTAAATGAAGGGAGACCATTAGGGTAGAACTAAGTTGCTAGGTGATCAAGAAATTGAAAACTATTTTCTTGACCATGAGGATGTATGTGTAAATTGTGGTGCAATGCAAGAGGGGATGTGGGATGCTTAGGGGATGTCCCAACACCTTAAACCTCACTTTCTGTGCTCTCCCTCTTCTTTGCCTATGTGATGTTTATCTGAAGTCCCACCTTTGTGACCTTCCCTACTACCCTATCCTACTACATCGATCTCCCTTTCCAAGCATCCATTTCAATGTGTGGCCCTTTCCTATGTGTTAGTCTCCAGCTAGGTTGCAAGGTTCTTCAGTGGCCATATTTCTCCTCCTCCTATTTCCTCTACCCCATATTTTGAAGTAAAAAGACCAATCTTCTTTGTCCTTCAGTATTCTACTTCCATTCTTTTGCAAAGAAAAGAAGACCAAAATCTAGTGTTCTATGAATCTTGCCATTGAGTTGCAGTTCATTTGAGGTTAAACAGAATAGAATGCTGATTTCATTTATTATCCCGCAAGTTCTGGGGTAGGGTGGGAATTTTGAGACACCTATTTATAAAGTTGCTAGAGGCTCAGTGCACAAAATTCATGCACAGGGGGGAGGGGGAGGACGGTTTCCTCAGCCCAGCCTGCACCCTATCCAATCTGGGACATCCCTCACACAATCCAGGACTGCTGGCTCCCAATCGCTTGCCTTTCTGCCTGCCTGCCTGATTGCCCCTAATTGCTTCTGCCTACCAGCCTGATCACCCCCTAAACACTCCCCTGACAGCCTGATCAATGCCTAACTACTTTCCTGCCAGCCTGATTGCCCCTAACTGCCTATCCTGCTGGCCTAGTTGCCCCTAATGGCCCTCCCCTGCAGCCCTGGTCACCCCTAACTGCCCTCCCTTGCCAGCCTGGCTGCTCTTGACTTCCCTCCCCTGCAGGCCTGGTCCCTCCCAACTACCCTCTCTTTCAGGCTTGGTTCCCCCCAACTGCCCTTCCCTGCAGGCCTGGTCCCCCCCAACTGCCCTACTCTATAGGCCTGGGTCCCGTCCCCCCCACTACCCTCCCCTGCAGGCCTGGTCGACCCCAACTGCTCTCCCTTTCAGGCCTGGTTTCTCCCAACTATCCTCCCCTACTGGCCATCTTGTGTCCACATGAGACAGCCATCTTTGACCATATGAGGTGGCCATCTTCTGTGTTGCAGTGATGGTCAATTTGCATATTACCTCTTTATTATATAAGATAAGCAATTGAATATTCTTGAGGGAGTGGCAATACTTTTTGGTAATGAATTGGCTTGATAGAATTGGAGGATATTAAGAACGATGAATGAGTTGTAGCATTGAACAAAGTGTCCACAAAGAAGGCTGGATGATTTCCCAAGGTCCACTTAGGGTACCGCTTAGTTCTTTCCTACCTCATAAAATATGGGTGATGCTACAGTACTCCACAGGACACTAAGTGAATACCCAGTGAATCTGTAAGGTGGTCTCCTCCCATGAAATTCCCCCTAGTGTTACCCAGAGCAAGCTTGGTACCAGTCACTCTTCTTTACAGATGAAGCTGTCTTTGAAGGCAAACACCATGTCTAAATCTTTGGTGTTCTAACTCCATATACCTGTTTCAAATGAAAGTAAAGAGTCTAGAACAAGGTTTCCCAGGGTATTTGGGAGTCTAGAACAAAGTTTCCCGTGAAAGGGTCTGATGTGATGATTGGGAACATTGGATACAGCTCTCTGTCTTGGTGATTCACATTGTTAGCATAGGAAGATTCCAAAAGATTCTCCTGTAAGAAATCCTGTATGTATAGTTTTAGCTAAACATAGTTAAGTGCCTTCCTCTTTTTGTGTGTGTGATATATCTAGTAACTTCTTGCTCCACAGGCCCATGTGGGAATCACTGGTCAAGGTAAGTCAGAGCCCTGGAGCCAACAAGGTATCCCTGGTATAGAGTGGCTGGGGGTGGGCCTGGAGACAGGACAGCACAAGCTGCTCCTCTCTCACGTGACAGGCCTGCAAGGACTGGAAGGCAGTCCTCAGGTTCTCTCTTCTCCAGGCCACCTTTATGCCACCCTACTTATATACCCAGCTCCAACTTCTGGGTGCTCCCAAGTTCCCCAGTGCTCCTCTTAGGAAGTCAGGTGCACACTGAGCATCCAGGGCTGACTGGCAGATAAGGAATAGAATGGGATGATTATTTCCAGGGAACTGGGCTCAGAACTGTGCTTGATAGGACCTTCACTTATGTTAGCTTTCAGGACATTTTATAATAATGTTTGGCCCATATAATGTTATAGATAATTAAACCCCTTTAAGTTTTTACTCAAGAGCATTTGGCAAGAAAAGTTTTTCATGTGACATTTGTGGAATTGATTTCTTTAAACCCAAGTATTTGACTTTAAAAAATATAAATATTTTTTAATTGACTTCAGAGAGGAAGGGAGAGGGAGGGAGGGAAACATTAAGGATGACAGAGAATCATTGTTTGGCCTCCTGCGTGCCCCCTACTTGGGATCAAGCCTTCAGTCTGGGTCTGTGCCCCGACCGGGAATGGAACCATGACCTCCTGGTTCATAGGTCAACGTTCAACCATGGAGCCACACCGCTGAGTCCAAATATTTGACTTTAAATTTCCTGTTAGCCTTTGTTCTTGTTTATTCACTTGTCAGTCCACTAAACAAATACTAAGTGCCAACCATGGTTCTGTCTTCCCTTAGATATATTTTTTTATTCAAACAGAATGCAATCATGAGAAGAATCCACAAACTCTTTCTCTCTCTCTCTCTCTCTCTCTCTCTCTCTCTCTCTCTCTCTCTCTCTCTCTCTCTCTTCTCTCTCTCTCTCTCTCTCTGAAAAAAAGAAAATTGTTCTGTAATATTTCTGAGATAAACGTTTTATAAATCAGACTAGATAGCCATGGGTCTCCACTGCTGTGAATGAATGTAGCTGAACTTACTTAACTTCTGCTCTCCTAACTTATCGAGGAGTTAATTTCTACCTACTACATCCCTTGATGGCAGATGTCTCTAACAATTCCTTTATAAGTTTCTCAGGGTGGATAGTAGTGATTCTAAAAGCTTTGAAATATTTGAATTCTATAGCTTAACTGAGTATAGGGTCATTTATGCCTGCATTTTCCTAGGCCAGTGCAGAGGCAGTTTCTTAGGAGATCCTCCCTAACCTCCAGAGTGGGTCAGATCCCCATGGCACCATACACTTCTCCTTTGTTGCATGTATTGCAGCTGTAATTTTTACATTTATTTATCATTACTTGATTAATGTCTTCTCGCTCCACTAGACTGTAATTTCCACGAGAACAGGAACCACGTGTGTCTTATTCTCCACCATATCCCCAGAGCCTTCTATAAAGCCCAGCACATAATAGGTGCTCAGCAAACATTTGTTGAATGACTGAGAAATGAACTATTCATTTGGCACCCTCTTTTACAAACAGAATCCTGGTGTTAGAAAGGAAAGAACTTTAAAAGTCACCCCATACATTTTTTTATGTGTTGCTGGAATCATAAGTGACCAGTCAGTGCTCTTCTGTTTGAATACCCGCCTCAGTGGAGAATCTCCACCTCAACCCTTGCAGCAGTCTGCACCTCTTCTGGGGACTCCCAGCCACTCACATTCCATAGTCCAGAGTTGGGGACCCAAGGTCTTTGTGAGAAGAGATGAGCTTTTTATAAAAGAAAAAGGAAAGTTTATTTGCAAAGAGGTACAAAGGAGTCAGACTTCAGAAGAACTGGCTCACCAAATAAAACAAACCACGAGCATTGAAAAGCCCAAGCCCTGATATTACTAATGTTACCAACTATACATCAGTCTGTTTATGTTGGAGAAACTGCAACTATCTCACTGGATTATCCTAGCCAAAGAGGCAGGACACTCCCTCTGACATCAGCATTATAAACACTAAGGATAAGGTGTGTTTTTGTTATGGACTCAGACATGGGCATTAGAACAAGACAGCATGAACCTGTTATTTTTGGTTGAACTCAAGCTGCAAAGTTATTTTCCCCCCTAACTGTGGATGATGGTGTACATGTTTATACACAATGGCAAAGGGCAAAGTGGTCAGTTCTGCTCCACCTTGAACTTATTGGGAAATTGGGAAGGTCATAGAAAGTGAAGCCACTGAATAGAATAGAATGGCACTGCTTTTGAAACTCTTCCTCAGGAAAATGGGCCTTGGGAAAGAGGGATAGAGAGCTAGATTGAATATCAACTTGATATCCCATGGAACTATGCCAGTAAGTTATGATATGGCCAGGTGTAGAGGTTAGCATCATTTTCCCCCATCCCATCTTTAAAAGGTCCTCGTGCCGATGCATCAGATAGGAGTGATAACTTGAAGAGGTGCACCATTCGTGCTTTGCAGATTTCTTTTAATTTACCTCCATGAAAAGACCTTCATATTTGTACTTCTTTTCATCAATTCATTCCTCAAATATTTATGGAGTTTCAACTGTACCCCAGATGCTGGGTGATGCTCTGGGGACACAGTGTGGTCCTGGTGGAGGGCTC